CTGGTTTTTGACAGAGTAACTGATGAACAAGAAATTATTTTTATACAAACCTGAAAACATGTTATTGTAAACTTTATTGTAAAGATACAGACCAGGAAATTTATTTTCTCCTTAAGATTAACCAAATTCTGAAGTGGTATATTCATATTAAAGTCATGTAAGGGAAAGCACTAATTTGAGAAAGAAGAAGTAAAGTTAGATTACATAAAGGAACTTAGAACTATTTTCATAGTATTTTTGTGCTTTATGAAGTTTTTTTTTTTGCTTTATGAAGATAATATTTGAAGTAGTTCTCTAAAATTTGGCTATTAACCAAAAGGTTAATTGATTCTTTTCTTCTGCTCCATTGTGGTTAACATACTAATTCTTCTTATTAAAGACCCATTTTATTATGCAAATGAAAAAATCACAAGATGTCATGTCTAAGAGACAGTTGTTTTTTGCCCAGAGTCTCAGGCACCTGCTTCAGATCTCCACCCCCACTCCTGCTTCCAGTGGCTGTCATGCTAGAGGCTTAGTGATCAGGTTTAGTGGGTGTGGGGTCCTTGAATTCTGGCCCACATTTTCTTTGTGATTATACTCTTGTTTTGCCTTATGATGTTTCTCCTTCCAGCTCTCAGCATGCCAACAGCAGCTGCATCATGGCACTCACTCTGCTGCCAAGAGGGCAGGCAGCCTCCTTGGAGACTGTAATGCTGCACTCCAGCCAACTGTTAAGGAGCCAGCTGAAATTCAGATCATTCTAGAAAGCATTTGCTAGAACACTTTGTCCATGTTATTGATAAACTAAGTAACTTAAAACATTTATTACTTTTGTTTATGAAAACTTTCAAACTTAGGCAAAGACAGAAAGAATACTGTAGAATGTCCTCAACCATAGGGAGGGAATGTCCAGTCCTCAGGCTCCTCAAACACATAAAGTACATGACCTGACTGAAATATATGCTTTGTTAATGCTGTGGCTGCCTGTGGCTGTCTGTCTGTATTGATAATTTTGTATGGACTGTGAACAATGTTATAAATATTCAGATGGCCTTTGGCAGAAAAAGATTTTTCTACCCCTGCATGTCTGAAATATGTAGCCTTTAAGAGCACATTGGGCTTGATTCTGTTTCATCACTGATAAGCAATTGAACTAGAACAACTTCTTTAACTTGCTGTGCTTCATTATCACTGGTCATTAAGTGGGGGCACACTTACCAGGGCTGTTCTAAGACTTAGTGAGTGGATACATTGAAACAACTTAGGTATAGCCTGGCACAGGGGAAGTGTTCATCATGTTAGTGGCTATCTTTATCATGATCAGCAGCAGCAGCAGCAGCAGCAGCAGCAGCATCTTTTGTCCCTCATCACTCATTTTTCAAAATAGAGGGCTGAGCCCCAGATGAGTGAAGCAACTGCCTTTAGGTCAGATAACAGTTTTATCAGGAGAACCTGAACAAGAAACCACATGTTTCAGATCCTTTATTGTACAGGATATGTCCTCAAGGAATAATGCTCTGGCAGATAAGAAAGATTTGTAAAGGAAAGGAAAAAGGATTAACAAAAGCAATAACAAAAGAATAAATATTGCTGCTAGAGAGATAAGCCTTAAAAATTGTGTGTTTAGAAAGCAAAACATTATGGATAATATACCTCATCTTTAAAGAAGGGAATGATTTGGTCATGAAAACTGGATAGCATTCTGTGCGTAAGCAAAAAGAATTTTGCATACAGGATTTTAGTAACTGATGTGGGGAAGATTTGTTCCTGAGATTAAGATGAAAGGCAAGAAAAAGATTATTTGAACATCAGTGGATGTCAAACACAAAAGGGATTCTAGACTGCTCTAAAGCCAAGTAGGATCTGATATTTCTAAAGTTTTAATTCACTTCCTTCACTATTCTTGTCTGTAAATATTACTTCATTTAATCCTCATAACCATCCCATGAAGTAGATACTATCATAGCTCTTATAAGTCAGCTAAAGATACTAAGGCATGAGAAATTAAATAACCCAGGCTATTTGTTTATTAAGAACTGGGAGACCTAAGATTTGCACCCCATCCTTTTGACTAGAATTTTGCCTGTTCCATCTCCCTGACAAGTAACCTTAAGGTTGGTACGCTGCACCTAAATGTTGCTTCGTTTTCAGTTTTCCTATAGCAGCCAGCTCATAGAAACACTATTTACTTAGGTCGCACTGAGTTTGAGCACAAGGCCTTCTGCATGGTAGATAAGCACTTTACCACTTGATGTACCCAGAGCCCTTTTGCTTTGGTCATTTTTCAAATGGATTTTATGTTGTTGTTGTTGTTGTTGTTGTTGTTTTTCCCTAGGCCTTGCCTCAGACCTCAGTCTTCCTACCTATGCTTCCTGAATAGCTGGGATTACTGGCATGCTACTACACTTGGCATATTGTTTGTTCTTGTTAACTTTTGCTAGCTTCAAATCTTGATCCTCCTGTTCTGTGACTCTGGAGTAGTTAGGAGCCATCCTACTGCCTAACAGCTCCACTTAATGACTGCTAGGTACCTCAGGTCTTGAACACTGAATTCCTTCTTAATTTTTTTATTCTTTTTTTTTTTTTTTTTTGGTTGGTCATCGGGGCTGAACTCTGGGCCTGGGCCCTTCCACTTAAGCCACAGTGTCACTTACAGCTTTTTTCTTCTTACGTGGTTCTCAGGAATCGAACCCAAGGTCTCATGCATGCAAGGCAGGCACTCTACCACTGAGCCAACTTCCCAGCTCCTTTATCATCTTTACGTACTTATACAAAGGAGTTTCAATTCAGCTTGCTTATGTTTATGAGTACAGTATACCTTGACCATCAGAGAACCATCTTTCTGCTCACACTTGCTCTCTTGGCCCTCTTTCTCATCCCTATGAATGCTGACTCTATCCTTTTTATTGCTTAGGCCAAGTACTTTAAACTTATCCTCAACTATGCTATTGTTCATGTATACTACCATTTAGTCCATCAGCAAACCATATTGGTTTACTGTTGAACTCTATATAAGATTTAACCATTTCCTCTCTCACTTTTTCTTTCATAACCCTAATCAAATCACAGTCATCTCTGTCCTTAGCATCTTCCTGCCTCCTTTTCTGGTCACCTATCCCACTGTCTACTGTTAACACAACGACTAGAAAGATGGTAGAAATCGGACAGAATATATCTCCTCAGAAATAATATGTTCTTTGAGGTTTTTTATCTAGTATGCAGCAATATCAATCAATCTTATACACATAATATTTGTTGAAAGAAGCAAATCACTTCATACGTCCTAGGAAGAAACCTGAAGTAACCACAGTGTTCTAGGGACTGTGCAATGAATAATGTATTTTTAAGCATATACACAGAACTGTGTTTTTGTACACTTAACATCTATGCATCATCTTTGCTCTTTCTTCATCTGAGTAATGGTTAGACATATAAGTTTAGTTTCTGTCTGAATTTTGCACTTCACTAAAATGTTTCACAAAAAATGTTATTTCTCTTATGGGAACTTATAGCCATTAGAATATAAACTCTGAGTAGGCAAACTTCTTGTCTGTTTTCATCCATTCAATAAACATATATTGAGCTCTAGGACCTATCTAAGTATTTACGGTAAACTTTCTGAAGGGTGATAAAAATAAATCACATAGAATACGGCAAGTTGCTAATGGTCTGTGGAGAGGCAGAAAGCAAGAGGGGAAGATGGGGAGTGCACACTGAACAGGTGAGGGAAGAATATGCGGCGTTAAATAAGATGGTCAGGAAATGGGCCAGTACTTGGAAGGAACTGAAGGAAGTTGCTCTTTGTATGTCTAAGATAAGAACTTCCCATGCAGAGGGAAAGAGAAGCAAGAGTCTTTGGCAGAAATAGGCTGGGAGTGAAGTAGCCACAAGGAGGAGGCAGTAGGAATGGAGAAGAATGAAGGAGAACAGGCTTTTTGGGGATAAAGATAGGAAAGTACCAGAGCCAGGTCTGGAAGGGCTTGGTAGGTTGCTATACAGAAGCGGGGTAAGGATTATTGGGGTTTTGTTGAAAGAGGATCTTACTATGAAGCTCAGGCTATCTTAGAACTCAAGATCCTTCTGCCTCTGTCTTCAGATTGCTGGGATTACAGGTTTCAACCACCACACTCCACTTTTTTTTTTTTTTTAAATCATTTTGAGTTAGAGCTCAGCTACTTGTAATGAGAGCTCATTCATTTTCATGAGTATAAAGAAACTTTCATTTATTGTTCATTCTGCTACTGATGGGTATTTCAATAGTTCCCAATATAGGACTTTTTGATGAGACCTGTGTAATGAACACCCTTGTACATCTTTTAATAAATAATGTTTACAGGAGATATCAGTTTGAAAGGAATTGACAAGTATATCAGTTCTTTTTTGCATATTTGTGACATGTTAGATCATGTAAAAGTCCATCTTTATCATTATGGTATACACTAGAGATAAAATATCAAGTAATTAGGATAAAGCAGGAAAGCCTGAAAGGTAGGGAATTAAAGATGTATCAGTTACATTGGAACCTGGTGTCCAGTTAGAGATCAAACCTATGTTTGATCAAAAACACATACAGGAAACATAATGTTATGTCCAAGGCTTATTTCACCATAAGCATTAGGAAACAGAAGCAAGCAAAATCACTTGGAACTATGTAATACAACAGTCTACAGTGTTGCTGGACATTCAGCAGAACCCCAAAGCAACCACAGGATTTGGAAAAGCAGAGTCAAGTTTTGTAGACATTATCTGGCTAGGAAAATAGCAAGAATGCCAGTTTGTATATAAGGGAGGTATGGATGGCCAATCTGAGGAAGAAGGGGTGTTTAGAATTCATATAAATCCTGGCCGAGATTTGGGTGTATGTATCTCTCAAACGCATGAATAGTTTACATTCAAATCTGGAAGTATTTCTGTATTCCACACTAATCAATCTTTGTGATACATTGATGCCACATTTACCACTGCTAAACCTTGCAGCTCATATGGTCTAAATGTTTTAAATGTATATGTATTTTTAGACCAGCAAAGAAAACTCATCCAGTATGACTGTAGCAAGCCCTGAGATGGAAAATAAGGCAGGCCAGATGCTGGAGAACAGCTCACTGATGGTAGAGCTCCTGAGCGACGTACCCTTCACCTTGGCCCCTCATGTGCTGGCAGTGCAGGGCACCATCAGCGACCTTCCTGACCACTTACTCTCCTATGATGTCAGCGAGAACCTGTCACGATTTTGGTATGATTTCACTCTTGAAAACTCAGTGCTCTGTGATTCGTAATCTTCATGTCTGTTTGTACCTAAGCTTTAAAAAAACAAAAAAAATTACCTATTTTATTGAACCTGTTTGATGTTCTTGACAGTTCACTCTTTAAAGGCCTACAGACAAGCAAGGATCATAAAGCCAATAAAATAGCATTATTTTCAAAGCCAACTTGTATAAAATTTAACTTCAGTTCTACTTCTGTCCCCCCATGTAATAAATATAAAAATGAAGCTATCAAGGTTTTATGAGAAGAATAGGTTGCTACAGCTGCTCTCTCAAAGTACTGTGAATGTGACTTGAAGCTTTTGCCTGGGTTATCACAACTTAGCCTGAGCTTAGAATGAATGGTAAGTCTTTTCTGATTTTGAAAAAAGTTGAGTCTGTTATTCCATTTTTTTCTGCCATAGTGTCTATGAATGAGTTCAGAAAGTTTCCCTTTACTTCCTTCAGTCCCAAAGTAGACAAAGTGATGTGGAAACTTAAAACCTGTCCTAAACACAGTTACAATGTGCCAGCATAGGACTGTTCTAAACCATTTGCAAGCTGTTTGTTGAGTGGCACATTTCCATTTTCTTAGACCCAGAGCAGCCCTTCCCACCTGTGTGATTCTGGCCTTCTTATTCTCTGACTTTCCACCCCTTCCCAGCATGCTTTCTCACCATCCTTCCAAAGAACTTTGCTTCTGCCTCAGTTGGCATCTGCTCTCCTTACCACATATGTTTCTAGTTTGTGGAGGAGCCACATTTCCTTCAACCTCTCAGCCTCCTAAAGAAAATCATCTCAGAATGATACTTATTATTGCTGATCATTATCTATAAATTTTTTGGCCACAATGCAGGTGGAAAGATTTTACTAGTATACATACTCAACTCATTTCCAATTAAAGTGTAGGCAAAACACCTAGGTAAGACTTTTAGTTTTTATTTATTCCAAGTAAAACTGAGAGTTGCCATTGGTCAGTAAGCTTAAAGGGAAGATTGGCATATTGTGATAGGGAATTTTCTATGCCATGGAAAATATAAGTTGCATTTATTTAATTAGTAGAATATGATTTGCTGATTTGGTGCCAAACTTGTAAGCATATTTTTTCATAAAGAGAAAGTGCCATAACAAAACTAAACATTGTGTATATAGGTACATGAATTTTAATATGTTATACATGCTTGTTTAATAAATGTTGTATGGTCTTAATAAAAATACTATATTATGTAAAGTTAAAGGAATATTTCTATTGACAAAAATAGACTTCATTTCAAATTAATGATTAAATTAATTCTTATATAGTTTTCATAAAATATCAGTATAGGGAATATGACTTATCACTGACATAAATGTGCTCTGTATTGTGAAGATACACCTTCTAATATTCATGTTAATGTATTTTTAAAATAATGTGAGCAACATAGTCAACTTGTCTAGAATATGTTAAATTTTCTCTAAACTAATAACACATTTTATTTATATTTATTTCTACCATGTTTATAAGTACTTATAAATATTTGTTTACAAAATTGTTCTATTTAAATAAATGTGAATTAAAATAAATATTTTGATTATTTTAAGATTCATAAAAATGTTTTTCTTTGCATTATTTATGTTTGAATGCAAGTATAGATTCTATAGGAGGCAAATAGTTAAGGCATGCCAAATGCTGTAGTGAGAGAAAAGAATTCTTATATATAAATTTTAAAGAAAAATATTGGAAGTAGTAAGGTCACTAGTCTTTACTTAATCAAACTAGAACAATTCAAGGGGAAAAAAAATCATGAACATCTAGAATGATCCACATCATCAAAAAACTTGGTAAGACTATTACTAATGACTTATTTTTTACAAAAATAACTGTGATATGTTCACTTAAATGATCTTATCCTGTATGAAAATCATTAATACTTGAAACCCAAAAGAAACATTAAATATCCAACAACTCCCTTTACTCAAGGAAAAAGTAAAGCCTAGAAATGTTAAGTGATTTAATGAAGCATCTTGTTAGTCAGGTGCTAGTGGCTCATGCAGCTGAGGATATACACAGTCTTCTAAGACATTGCAAAGGACCTCTACTAATCATATGGCTTACAAATGTATAAAAAAATAGCTACCTATATTATTTGTAGATTCTCTGTATCCCAATTTTTTTTTTATCAAAAATAGTTCTGAAGTATGCTAGTTGGTCTTCCTTTAGGTAAAAATGTTGTAGTGAACCACTTTTTTTCTCATCAGGATTTTTGTTCTTTCCATTTCTGCTATTATAAATTGTTCTAAAGTATATGAATTACTAAATTGGAGGGGAGGGGCAGTATTAGGACTTGACCTCAAGGCATCATAATTGCTAGGCAAGTGCTATACCACTTAAGCCATACTCACAGCACTTTGTTTTCATTTGTTTTTCAGACAGTCTTGATCTTTTGCCTGGCCTAGCCTCATGTTGTAATTCTTCTATCTCCACCTCTGGAATAACTGAGATTATAAGTATTCCATCATGACTGGCAGTTTTTGTTTCTGCTTTTGTTGTTATTGTTGATGATTGGTTAAGTTTTGGTTTTGGTTTTTTTGAGACAGGGTCTTACTATGTGGTTCCAGTTGACTTGGAACTCACTATGGAGCCACGATGGCCTTGAACTTGAAATCCGCCTCAGCCTCCTGTGTTATGCCATTACAGATTTATAGCACCCTGCCCAACTCTAAACTTTATTTGTAATGCTAATATGTATTCAGGAAATTATATGTGTTTGCTTATTTTTCAACTTTCTATAAGGGCTTTTGCATTATTTCCTAAAAATAGAATTATAGAAACAAAATTCAGTACAATTTGTTATTTGGCTGATGATATTAACTTTTAAAATTATATCATTAAAATTTTAAGCAAAACACAATTGTTATTACCAATTCTAGAAACACACACTAGTTCTTTTAAGTAAACATTATTGACACCAGTACTCTTTTATCCTCCTGCAAATAAAATAACAACTTGTAAACAACAGGAAATAAATTATATATTTCCCAAAGACTTTTAAGGGAATAATTTCACTCATGTTCTGAAAGTGTGTTATATCAGGCTTCATCGTCTTTCCTTCTGTGATTACAATTGATCAGTAAGTGAACACTGCTAGCAGTAATCTAACACTGCATATGTTACTTTCAGAAATGAATGCATTACCTATTAATCATGTCCTCAATAATAGTAACACATATATATATATGTATTCAGTAGATGAAGCTACTGAGACATTTGGGTTTGTAGATAGTATGTTTGGGCATTTGTAGCATATTACTGAGGGCATGACCTAAATATATTGGGAAATCTAAGACTCTCAAAGTAGATCTGGCTACATTAGCTTTACAGATGAAATATTCTTACGTTTCAAGAAAATGATTCATTGTGCCATATGGTTTGGTGGATAGATGCGTGTAAGTAAGAGAAAAAGAGAGATGTATTGATTGATGTATAGGAACTCAGTTACAATCAATATAGCAATAGGTTAATCATCTGTTGTTAATTGAAATGACCTTTTTTACTTTCGAATAGTGTGGGCTTACAGAAAACTTAAGAGTGTGGAGAGTTCCCTCACCAGTTTTTCCTTCTTTGTCACAGGAGTCAACATTGGTACATTTTAACTGACAACATTGCTACTTTTAACTGAACTCCATACTCTATTCAGATTTCATAGTTAACCCTTTATTATCATTTTTTCTCTTCTAATATCCTATCCAGTATTATATTTAGTCATCTTATTTCTTTAGAGTCTCTTGTTTAATGACTGTTTCTCCCAGACCATTTTTTTTTAGGGTCTTGATAATTTTTGTGGAATAATAGTCAGGAATTTGATAGACTGACCCTTCGATTCCTCCACCCTCTGCACCCCAGTCCTGGATCTTGAACTCTGGGCCTGGGCCCTGTCGCTGAACTTCTTTTGCTCAAGGCTAGGGCTCTACCACTCGAGCCACAGTGACACATCTGGCTTTTTCTGAGTAGTTTATTGGAGATAAGAGTGCCATGGATTTTACTGCCTTGGGCTGACTTTGAACTGCAATTCTCAGATCTCAGCCTCCTGAGTAGCTAAGATTACAGCACCTGGTGTTTTTGTTTTTTATTTTGTTTTTTATCTGGTTAAACTGGAGTTGTGGGGTTTGGGAACAAATTATAGAGGTTAAGATTTCTTTTATGAAATCATATCATATCAAGAGTTTATGCTAGCCACACTCCAGTGGCTTTTGCCCCTGTAATTCTGGCTACTCGAGAGGCCAGAGAATTACAGATTGAAGCCAGTCCAGACAGGCAAATCTGAAGTACTCTTATCTCCAATTAACCAGCAAAATCCAGAAGGGGAGGTATGAGTCAAGTGGTAGAGTTGCCAACCAGGTGTGAAATTCTGGTTGAGAGCCCACAGCCTAGAGTTCAAGTCCCAGTTCCAGAACATACACACACAAAAAAAATACATGCTAGAGCTAGATTTAGTGGCTTACACCTACTCCAAACTATTTTGGAGGCAGAGTTCAAGAAGGTCAAACTTTGAGGCCAGAGCTAAAAGTTAGGTGAGACCCATTTCATCAAGTAAACGGGACATGGTAGGGCATATCTAATGTCAACTACACTGGAGGCATAAACTGGAAGATCATGGTCCAGGATGGCCTGGGAGGGTGAAGCCCTATTCAAAAAATATCTAAAGCAACAAAGGGTTGGGTGGCTCAAGTGATAGAGGGCCTGCCTAGCCAATACAAGGCCTTAAGATTAACCCTCATACTGTCATGTTTCTCTGCTATGAAGTCATTTCTTCCAGCCCTCTTTTTTTTTCTTTCAAACTCTACTCTTTGGAATTAATTCTCAAAGTACAACTCATACTTTCAGGATAGAAAATTAAACTCTACCTCCTTGTATCACATAAATTATTTGGGAACCTTTTACATAGATGACATGTCTATTGCCCCAATCATACATTAGCATCAATTTAAATATTTAAACTTTTAACAAGTTTAAATCAGTGACAAAGACATAAATACATTTTTATAAAAGTTAAGAAAAATTTGAAACATTTTACATAATTTGATGTTAGATATGATGTTAGGTTGGAGATGATGTTACATTCAGTAGTTTTACCAGAACTCATCATTCTGTAAATAGCAGATATATATATATATATATATACATATATATATATATATATATATATTTCTTCTTTAACTTATATGACTATAGCTGCATAATCATGAGTCCTATCACAACATTTTGGCCAATAAAAGACCACATATCTGTATGGTGAGCCTATAAGATTATAATGGAACTGAAAAATGTCTATTGCATAGCATTTTGTTGTTGTTGTCAAGGTGATGTACAGAGGGGTTACAGTTACTTAAGTAAGGTAGTGGTTACATTTCTTGTCTAATTTGTTATCCCTTCCCTCATTTTTCTCCCTCTTTCCCTCCCTTCCAACTCCCCCTCCAAGTTGTACAGATCATTTCCGACATATTGTCTTGTGAGTATCGCTGTTGCATAGGTTCTGCCTTTGTCCCTTGTCACACCATTTTGTTGTTCCCCTTTCCTTCCCTAGTTCAGATAAATGTATATACAATACCCAGGGTACCAAAATCGAATACAGTTACAACAGGGGATAAACCATAGAGGGGAGGAAAAAAAAGAAAAAAAGAAATCAAGTAGTACATTGAAAACAGAAACAACAAGGAACACCTCTTATGTCCATGTCTTGAAATTCATTTCACTTAGCATCATCTTAAATGCTCATATGTACATAGCTATTGAGCTATTCTGTTCATCTTCTAAGATTATCCTAGATGTATACTAATTATTACAAATAAGGGAGACCATGTAATCTATATTTCTTTGGGTCTGGCTTACATCACTTAATATGGTTTTTTCCAAGTCCTTCCATTTCCATGCAAATGGGGTGATGTCATTGTTTCTGATGGAAGGATAGAATTCGTGTGTGTGTGTGTGTGTGTGTGTGTGTGTGTGTATACATATATATATCACATTTCTTAATCCATTCATCTACTGAGGGACATCTGGGTTGGTTCCATATCTTAGGGTAAATAATGCTGTGATAAACATAGTAGTGCCCATAGTTTTAATGTGGCC